TGAAAAGTTCCAAGAAAATCCGATGTTTTCGTGATTTTGTTCAGCGATGAAGCCCATTTCCAGCTCAAGCAAAATTGCCACATTTGCGACGAAGAGCTACCTGAAGAGATTCTAAAGCTGTCATTTAATCCAGAATAATCAAAGGTTTGGGGTGGTTTCGGTGAAATCAATTATTTCTTCAAAAATGAAGCCATTGAGATAGTTACCGTCAATGGTGATTCGCTATCCCGCCATGATAACTGATTTTTGATGCCTGAAATTGAAGCATTAAGCATGAAGAACAACACGCGAGTCATTCGCCAGTTACCAGTCGAAATGCTCGAATGAGTCATCGAAAAATGGACTCATCGAATGGACCATCTGAGCCATAGCCGCGACCATCATTCGAAAGAGATAATCTTTAAAAAATAAATGCCAAGGAATGTTATTTCAAATGATAACAAATATTTCCCATAAAATCGGATATTTCTGTGCTCTTTCTCTTTAAAAAAGTAATAAAGCTCGAAATAGATCACACTTTAAGATATAGCATGAACGTAACCATATTTAACATTTTTCTAGTTTTTCCTCTGGTTTGATCTTTATCTTGTCCAAAGCAAGGAGGTTTCCTCAATTTTATCTAAGTTACGGATTTAATCCGTAATCCGGTTTTCCGCATTTCTATTAGTACCCAACCCCTACACAGCATACTAAAGTGTTAAAATTTTGATAAACTTGCATCTATGTCCTCCTGATTGCAACACCTCTCATTAAAATTTTATGGGGTTGCCTCTCTGTGTATATGCCAAATAGTATATAAAATTTCAAACATACCAAAAATGTCAAACTAAAATTAAACAATTGCGTTTATGGCATGCTCCTGCGTATAAACAGCGCAGAAAAGACTGCTATCATTTAGTATGTAAGTATGTTTGCATGTGTGCATGTGTGCAGGCACATAATTGCACACATTAGTCATTTACTGCTGATTATAAAATGTGAAAATTAGTAGGTTCCGCTGCAGCGTGCAACGGAAACGCATTCCGCTCACATATTCGAAAATTTACATGAGTGAATTCTTCAACTGTCAATTCTGCACACACACACACACATACACATGATATGCTACATAGCAAATGTACAACAAAATTAAATTAGTGCGGATGATGTTCAAAGTGAAATTGTGTGAATGTGTGTGTGTGTTACAATATTTATATGTATATACATATATGTGTGTGCACTTGTCTCTGTGTTGGGGTCACAAAAGCTGTGAGAATGCGTGCGTTTAAATGCGATTTCGTTGTCAATGCCATTAAGGACTTCAATGCCGGCTATGCTGGTACACAAGGAAGCATGCATATAATACGACAACAAACGCATATACATACATACATACATGTGTGTAGTTAGATAGTTGAAAACGTGCGCACAATGGAGGAAAGGTGCCTTTTTGTTGTCGCATATTGTAAGTGCCAGCATTCTCGTATGTGCAACCGACAAATGTTTCCCAGCCGTTTCCACAATTACACTCACACAGTCAGACACATCAAGGTTTGAACGTGCAAATGCGGACATGAATGCAATTAAAAAGTTGCAAAAGTAAATACATGAGCGGATGTTTTAATTATATAGACACATGTTTTATATACTTTATAATTATATACATACACACAAGCCAGACTTCATTAAGATGTATACATACAAACAGGCTAATGTTTATTTTTAGGCTGCCGTAATTATAATACATGTACATTTGTATATGTGTATGAGTTTTGTTGCGATTGATTTTGTGTGAGTTTATACTTTCCAATATAACAAAGTACACTTATAGTATAATGGTGCATCAGATCAGCAAGTAGGCGTCCATTGATCGATGCGTCGTGGATACAATATCGGAAAGATCTAAAATGTAAATAAATCTACACCAATGAGTACCCAATGAGTCGTCCATATTTGAGAATATCTTCTTTATTGGTGTAGACACCGCTTACGCGGTTATAGCACGGTGAACAACTGCACGCGGTTGTTCTTCCATTTCGCTGTTTTAAGCCAATTGGAGATTACAAGTGTAGCCTGGCCCTTCTCCATCTGATTTCTCAAATCGGAAGCCATGACCTAGCCAGCGGCTACTCTTAAGTGGTCAGTAGGGTAAACTGGTCTGTTTTTTGACAATTTTTTTTATAGAAATTTTTATTCTACAATATAATGTTTTTCACATATCATGAGGTATATCGTGGAGTGTATAAACAAGTTTTTTTTGAAATTTTTTGATGACACCTGTCGGAGAATGAGATGCGTTTTTCCACAGGCGGACACGATTTCTCATTTTTGGATCATCTGAAACACAAAACCCAATTTACTCATAAAAAGCATCGGCACGACTAGAATCATGAAAAATTTTGATAAATAAAAAAGTAATTAACGTTGTTTTTTTTTAATTTTTGGCAATTTTTTTTTTTACATTAATTTTGTCCTAACACTGTCAATACATTATAAAAGTTATGAATCTAGCAGGGACGATAGCCAGGCGTTTTGTGAACATTCGAAAAAAAAAACAAGTAGGGATGGGCTAAGTTCGGGTGTCACCGAACATTTTATACTCTTGCATGATAAAGTGATAATCGAGATTTCAGGCGTGGTTGTGAACCGATTTCACCCATATTTGGTACATGTCATTAGGGTGTTAAGAACATATC